CTGAGAGGAAGCATGAAGCTGCAATAATTCTTTGATGTGGGAGGGTCTCTTTTACTTTAGTCCTTGGAGAATGGTCTAAGATTACAGGTTTCTCATACTGGGTGTCTGGAACTGGTTCCTTCTTATATGTCTTATATGTCTGGGCTCTATCTGGATTATTTTAGCTCCTGGGGTCATGTTCTTTAGTACACTTCAAGAAAAAGCAAGCTTTGAAACCAGACTATAAAGTAAAGTGAATCTACTGAGAGGAAAAGGAAACTTGCCCAAGCAGTAGTGTCAGTTTCTTAAGATACTGGGATATTTGTAAAGAGTGACTGGTGGAATTAATTTTGAGGCAAACTTTTGTAATTTGATACAATTTGTTGTTAAAAAGCTGCTGATGAATAGAGAGAACAGTTCCAAATCTGACCTCTATGTAAGAAGGCGCTTTTTTTTTGAAAGGGAATTTCTGTTTGTTCAATACATCTATTGGGTTAATTCATCTATTTGGTATGTAATGTGTTTTCCTGATAAAACAGGAATTATTTGTGCAGCCTTTTTTTTTTTTTTTTTTTTTTTTTTTAGAAATAGGGATCCTGTTGTTCTTAGCCCTCATTTGTCTAAAGTCCAGTTAAAAAAAATAACACCACAAAACGCAGCCAAATAAACTCCAAGAATCTGTTTATTAGACCTTCAAACAGCATGGAAAATGTATATGTGTGTGTTACTGCATCAATAACAGGTGTTTGCATCAGACAGACATACTTACATGAACTATATGAATGTTTTCCTAATTACAGTTTTTAGCATCCTGTCTGAAAGTAACACAAAACTGGTCAGGGTCTAACATGGACGTAGTGGAGCATAAAAAGAAAGAGCAGCTTTTATAGTGATTCAAGAACAATAAATACACTTGTAGACATGAATTCGCCTAAAGTCTGTGAAATGAAATCATAACCTCAAAAGATTAAAGAAGTCTCATCGCTTATCAACATGGACAAATCCTGTCTCAATCTGAGGCCATCATAAGGAATCAAACCCAATCAAGCGAGAAGCCTTTCCCAAAGTGCACAGTGTAAAAGAAAGAGGAATGGATAGCAAAAAAAACCATGTCAGTGCCCCAGAATGTCTCTCTTAGTGAAGATCCTGTATGAGATGTGGGTAATTTGCTGTAGAAATAATGAAATTGAAAGCTTGGTTACATTTTTAGGTGTCCTTCAGGAGAATTATGTTGACTAGGTCTTCAATCTGTTTTCCTCCTGTTGTATTGCTATCTAGTGTTAAAAAAATCCCAAACAAACACACCAAAATTTGCCGCACTTTGCATTAGCCATACAGGAGTTTAAAACAGGAAAATAAACCCCAGCTTCCTCACTGTTTGGAAAGTGACCTAGTAGCAAATGAGGTAAGAGCTGTGGAACTATCACTGTCCTGCGTGGAGGACATTCTGGTTGGGTTAGTGATGCTGGGAGTGTGTAGGGGTACAACTGTGGGTTAAAATCACAAGTGAGTTTCAGCACTGACAGCTAGTAATTGAAGTACACATTTCATGCTAATGCATCATTTCATCTCCAAGCTGCAGAGCCTTTGATGAGGAGCTTGTTATATATTGCAAATCATCTGAAATTAAAGTATAGCAAAATTGCTTCATTTATCATGTCCCCTTTCACCCATCCCTCCAGCAAAGCTCTGCAGGGACACCACACTGAACTAAATCTGAAGGTGTTAGATTCTGTGTCCTCATTAAAAGTGCTGCGAAATTCTGCTGTTGTGTAGTGGTACTACTGTGACTTGGCAGTTTTAATGTTACACTGATCAATTTCCATTTCAAACATGATAAAGCTGACATGGCTTGTGGTCCCCAAAGATGTTTGGGAAAGAAACTTTTTTTTGAAAAAAAATTAGGGCATTTAATTGTAACTGATGATGCATGTCAGCCCCGCTCCCAGGAGGGCTTACAGCTGCAGCTCCAGAAGAAATGAGAATTCCCTGCATGACCTAGATGGCTTCTGTACCATGAAATCTTTGGTTTTGGTGTGTAGACCTGTGCCAGTGTGGAAAGTGATGTTCTTTCTGCTCCTGGTCTAGCCTGCTGCCTGCCCCAGTGTGATACAGGGTTAGCTGTTTGCCAAAAAACACTGACAAAGAAAGGAGTGGAGGACTGGTCTATGGCAGGTTGTTTTTGTACTGTTTTGCTGTTTGGCTAGCAGCAACGTGAGTCCGTGTGTGATGACAACACTGGTAAGGTGTTTTATTCCCCTCTTATAATAGCTCTATTTTGGGCCTCTGAGCAGCACTGAGAAACAGAAGTTGTTATAGGAACCACATCTCTCTCCCATTCCAGCATTTACTTCTGCTGTCAGAAAAATTGCTGAGTGACTTTAATGCCTTCTGTATAAATTGAGCTGGTGTAGGCCTTAGCAGGAAAAAGGCAATCTTCTACTGAGGTGCACTACAGCAGAAACACTTCAGTAGGTGGGATGAATATACTCTTACGGTCAAGTACAGATAATGTTAGGAGTAAACTCCTTGCAGAATTCTTGAGGTTAGTGTAGATGCACCAAAGAGGGGTTAGTTAAACTCTCTTAGCCTAGATAATTTCACTGATACGGTGTGCTGTGACATTTAAGATTCTTGGGTTTTTTCATAGCACAGAGTTCCAATATCAAACCTAAGGAATAAGACTGTCCTGCATGATTCAGATCAGGGACTTAGAGTTTGAATGATTGAAGAACAACACACCCCTTGATGAACATTTTTTCCTTCTCTCTTGCTCTTGCAAAAAACTCCTCTGCAGGGGTAATGGATGCTGTGCGGAGAGAGATTTTTGTGTAGCATAGATAAAAATGTCTTTTAAAAAAGTTTATATTAAACATTGCAAATGCAAATTGATAAAAAAATGGAATTATCTATAAACTACAGAAATACAGAAAATATCTTGTTACAGAGGAAGAAATTTCTATTCATTCAGACTTGGTGATGGTCTGTCAGATAGAGAGTTATTGTTAGATGACAGTAACTCATGCACAAACTATATGGCTTTCTTTGTGCATGAAATGATCTTTTGTTATTTCTTTGTCAGATTTTGATTTTGTTATTATACATTCCTACCACTTTGAACAAGAGGGATTGCTGTTTTGGCTTGTAGGGACTGTGCCACCTCTGTCACCAGAGGAGAAGAATTGAATAAGAGAAGCAACAGGAAAAAATCAATTTGTACACACCATTCCCTGGCTTTTTCAGCTCTGCTAAGGGACAGTTGTACAAAGCAGCGACTGGCTTCCATTGTCCCTTGCTGAGCAAGAGACTGAGCAAGTTTCTGGTTTGCTGTGTTGTTAACCACACTGGAAAACCGGATTTTTTTAGTTGCTGAAAGATGCAGTGTTCTTACTCATTTGTGGCAGAGTAATTTACGATGGTGATTTGTTAGGTTGGTTACTTGTGCAGGCATATTTTTACAAGGTTATCTGGTGCTGGTTGAATTCAAGCTTTAATATCTTGAAATGAAAGACTTACTTTATACTGTGAAGTCTCTTCCAAGAAAAGTAGTTCTCATCAATTAAGAAAGCTTACTTGATATGTCTGGGAAAAGGTTGCTCTTACACAGGAAGCTTTTGAAAACTGTGCTACATATCACAGTTATGCTAAGAGCTGTATTTCCTAGCAAAGCCTGTCATACATTTACAAGAAATAAAGTTCTGAAGGACAATTGTAAGGGAATTGATGCTCCACTCTTTATTTTAGAGTACTGGACTAGTATTGTGCCAAGCCAAAGAAATATCAAGATAGTAAATAGAGAAAGGAAATACTCATGCTGATGGAATGAAGTATTGATTTAAGAAAGGGTCAAAAATCTGCTGTATGCTACAAATAAAAAAATAAAGTTTTTAGCTGTGAATGTATGATAGTGTTTGTTTATTTTCTTGAGAGATTTTTCAGATTCCTAGAAGTGGTGGAATTGCAAAACATGTAGGACTACAATCCCATTTTAGAAACAGATACTCTCTCTAAATTATCCAATTTGTCATGAAGTTAGACAAATATTGACTGGACAAAATCCTGTGCTGCTGAAGGAAGGGTACTTATATTTATAATCTCCTTTTCAAAAGCTAAGCAGGATTTCAGTTCCATGTATTATTTCAGTTGGAGGGATCTAACCTATGTAATTTATCAGTAATTCATTGACTTTGGGCAAAGGGTAGCTCCCATTATTAAGGGTAACTCCCATCATTAAGGATCTGCCTCTGTTTTTGTTGGCTTTTAGTGATCAGACTGGGTAAGAACTAATCATCCTTAGAAGCTGAAGAATTTGTACAGCTTGTGGGGAAGATGTGCAGACAAATTCATCAATTAGAAAGACAAAAAATAAGATTTTTTTTTTTCTTTTTTTATTGATCTCAACGGGGTAAATGTATCTCTGTTGGCACAATCTCCATCTGCTGCTGTTTTACAAATGTGACTGTTATTTGTATACCTTCAGGCAAGCCAAACAAAGCGTTATTATGTGGAAATAAAATCAGGTTTTGAACTCTATAGCATGCTATTCTGATCTAAAGGACAGTACCTGGAGCAGTCAGACAGCTTTGATTGTAAAATTGGTTACATACAGAGACTTGAGAAAATTACATAGTGGCCTTAGTTGTCGCTGGATGGACTGTTGTATGTTCTGTTTGCTCTTGGTGAGAATGAAACTAAGCAGCATGATGCTGTGAAAGCTTTGCTGAGTCCGTGTTTGGGAAGTCTGTGCACAGATGTTGGAGGTTGAAAAAGAGAGATGGTGAAGCACAAGCGGGTGCAGGAGCTCCAAATCCCCTGAAGACTTTAGTTGGGCTTCCCTGACATGAAGGAAGGGGAACTTTTGCAATTGAGTGGCCAGGCAGTTGTGTTGTCCTTGGGTCCAGCTGGACCTGTGTTCTCCTTTGTCAGTCTTCCTTTTGTAGTCATTTAATAACCAGCTGCATTGTTAATGTGCAAGGACTGGTTGTTTTTTATAAGACACTTTTTTGTTTCTTTTAAACTAGAAAGATGAAAACTACAGAAGCCTACCACGAGATACTAGTAGCTGGTCTAACCAGTTTCAGAGAGACAATGCTCGTTCATCGTTAAGTGCCAGTCATCCCATGGTGGACAAGTGGCTGGAGAGGCAAGAACAGGTAATATATATGTATATATATATATTACTTTAGAAATCTAATCTCTATGCTACTCCAAGCTATGACGAAGAAGCATGTTCTTATGTGATACAGGCTCTTTAAGCATGATACAAGCACCAGTATAATGCTGACTAAATTTGTATGGGATTCTTTCTGCTTCCAAAACCTCTGCATTTAAGACTGAAATGTACAGCTGCAAATTATTCTGTTTTTGAGTCATAAACATGTTTGTATCGTACATGGAATGCTGCTGTTCTTCACAACTGATACCAAAAGGGTTATTTTGATTAGAGACAATTATTTCAAATAATCATTTTGCTGTTGAAAGCTAATAATGTTACTACCGATGAGCCCAATATGGGTCAGTTTTGACATTGCACTTTTAAATGCTTGTTATTCTTAACTTTGTAAAATGCATTAATTATACATTTGAAGACATATTTATTTAGTGTACATTTATACTGCTTTCATTCATGGGCTTTTTTGAGACATTAAATGAATCCAACTTGGACTTTTTTTAATTAATAAATTTTTTTAATTGTAGTCACAGCGGTTTAAAAGTTCTCAAATTAAAATCACCTGGCAATCACTTTATCAGTTCTTATGTGTCTGAAATTTTACAAGAAGTGTCTTTAAACGAATAACAAAAGGCATCTTTACTATGGAGACTGGAAGTGTAAAAGGAAGCCCCTATAGAGGATACTGCATATGTAGGATTATTACCTCATTTTTCTTCTTTATATAATGTAACATGAAAACATTGAGGTTTTGCATTGAACACAAAATTACGGATTTTGTATTTCACAGCAATGGGGTGTAAAATCAGGACTTGCTTTATGCTGAGGAGCTTCAGAATGAAATTTGCCATTTGACACAGCCCAAGGTTCTTACACTGTGCTGTGTGAACAGAGGTGAAGGTTTAGAGTCTGGCACTGGGCTGGCGTCCTGGGACTGGTCTCCTTCACTCACAAATCCCGTACTGGTATTTAGAATCATAGAATTGTTTTGGTTGGAAGAGACCTTTAAGTTCATCAAGTCCAAATGCTAACCGGGCATTGTCAGGTTGCCACTAAACCATGTCACTAAGCAACACATCTACATGTCTTTGAAATACCTCTAGAGATGGTGATTCCACCACTTCCCTGGGCAGCCTGTTTCAGTGCTTTACTTCCCTCTCAGTGAAGAAATTTTTGATTGCTTCCCTTGTCTTACTAGCCACATTATTGCTAATATAACCAGAATGCTGTTGGCCTTCTTGTCCACTTTGGCACACTGCAGGCTCATATTCAGCCAGCTATTAACTTGGACCAATACCTCCAGGTTCTTTTCCACTGGGTGGCTTTCCAGCCGCTGTTCCCCAAGACTGTAGCATTGGATGGGGTTGTTGTGACCCAAGCTGAGGACCCGGCCTCATACTGTTTGTCTTGGCCCATTTGTCTAGCCTGTCCAGATCCCTCTGTAGCGTCTCCCTACCTTCAAGCAGATCGACACACCCACACAACATGGTGTTGTCTGCAAACTTACTGAGAGTGCCCTCAATCCTCTTGTCCAGTTCACTGATCAAGTTATTAAACAGAAGTGGCCCCAGTACTCAACCCTGGGGAACTCCACTTGTGACCGGCTGCCAACTGTATTTAACTCCATTCATCACAGGAAGAGCCTGGCCATCCATCCAGTTTTTTATCCAGTGAAGCGTATTCCTATCCAAGCCATGAGCAGCCAGTTTCTCTAGCAGAATGCTATGGGAAGCAGTGTCAAAACCTTTGCTAAAGTCTAGGTAGATAACATCCACAGTGTTTTCCTCATACACTAAGTGATCTTGTCATAGAAGGAGATCAACTCCATCAAGCAGGACCTGCCTTTCGTAAAACCACGCTGACTGGGCCTGATGGCCTGGTTGTTCTGCGTGTGCCATGTGATGACACTCAAGGTGTTCTGCTCCACAATCTTCCCCAGCACCGAGATCAGACTGACAGACCTGTAGATCCTTGGGTCCTTCTTATGGCCCTTCTTGTAGGTTGGTGTCACATTTGCTAACCTCCAGCTAACCGGGATCTTCTCATTTAGCCAGGACTGCTGATAAATGATGGAAGTCCAGCACTGCCAAATCCTAGGCTATTCAAGTAATTCTTTATTTTTCCCTGTTCTTGGTCAAAGGGAGCTTAAATAATATCACAGAGTATGAAAACGTGAAAAATCCCAAATGTGAGCTAACTATTTTTGCATCTTGCAATTAGCTGCAGATTCATTCAAAAGTATGGAAAAAAATGTGCTGCTTCTATTTTTTCCTGTGCAGATTTAATGGTAGTGGTAGTTCTGTTACTGTTTTCCTCTCAAAAGATATAGTTACTGGGGATGAATTTAACTGCCGTCTCTCTCTCTGCCTGTGTTGAAATGGAAAGTTGGTGCCAAGATTCAAAGGCTTTTCCTGGGATGCTTCTGCTTCTTTCATGTTTTTGAGAAGCATTTCCATGCATCGTAAGATTTTCATCATGGCAATTTTAAACTGTTGTCTCCGCCAAAAGAAGTTGGATTAGGAATCTTAATAGTGATCATCTTATAAAATGTTTGGTGTGTGAACATTTTTATATATGATGTTTTGTAGGAATTTTTGTGATAATTTTGGTCTCTGAACAGCTTAACTAGTTCAATTTATTTACCAATTAGGTAAATAATTGAGCACGAGTGGTAATCTGGAAGCGCATGTTACCTGATTTAACTGGCTGAAATCTGAAATTGCCAATATCATGGTTTTTTTTGGTTTTTTTTTTTTTTTTCCTGATCAAATTTACTGCTTTTTGTTTGTCTTGTCTTTTTTTTTTTTTTTTTGAGAAAGAGAGGGCTCATTCTTCAAATGTACCTAAAAGATCAGTATCCTTTTGTGATTTCATATCAGCAGGATAATTAATTAGACTGAAACCTGTTTGACAGGGTATGCACAGGAAAAGAAAGCCTGTTGTGAGAGTGGGGTACATCACAGCTCTGAGGAGAGAGGCAGGGAAGGGCCTGGCAGGGAATGGAGTAGCTGCAGACGGAGATATTCTTCTACTTTTTTTTTGGTTTAAAATTCTTTTTTTCAGTATTCCCTATGAGCTTTTTGTTTCCCATTGATTAAGCCTTTCACTTCTGTGAAGAAGAAACTCAAATGACAAGGTTGCTATCTGGCATAATCAATTAATTTAGCAACTTCAGTCCTGTTTCTGTGGGCTCAGCAGAGCTGTGGAGGGGTTGGAAAGGTGTGTGCCAGTATGTGCATAAAAAGTGTCAGACAGCAAGTCTGGCACCAAGGGTAAGGCTGTGACAGTGCTAAGAAACCTCTAGGACAGAACCCACCCATTACAGATACCAGGTGTACTGATGGTCCTGGTTCAACCTGCCTTTGTGGCTCCTTGGAGAAGACGGTAAACACTGGATTCATCTTGCAGACTCCAGAGGCTTGTTGTTGAATGAAGGCTTTTTGGACGTGGATTGAATTACTTCTCTTAGAGCTTGCCTCGTCTCTTCCTTTTGAATATATGGAAAAAAAAAAAAATAGCCAGGATGATCTTTGTCAGCATCTTACATACATGAGCATTCAGCGGAATTGCATTTTGAGGTGGGAAGGTGTGATGTGCCAAAGAAGTGCAGAAATTGTTGTGTGGACAACACCTCGCTTCCTATAAACAGAGCTATGGAGTAAGCTGTCATTCTGCAGCATCGCAGCCTGTTCTGCACTGGAAACTGCAGGGGACCTTGCTTCCAGGAAATCATGATGAGCTGCTGCAACAGGAATTAATAAGGGCACAGAATTAGGTATGTTTGAGTAGTTGTTACAAAAACAGTTCTTGTAAACTTGTCTAGAGTTTAGCGCCTAAAAATGGAGGAATGCATGAAACCCATTAAAATTCCTGGAGGTAGCTGCTTTTGCTTCTATCTGCTGTGCTTTACTAGGGCTCTGCTAGGTTAGAGTGATACATCAAAGAAACAGAAAGGATTAATTCTATTTTCTGAGTTCTTTAGGGTATTCTGGCTGCATATGCTAGTTAGCTATATCTACCAAAGGATTGTTCCCATTTAGTTCCAGAGTCCTCTGGTTGTCCACAGGAAAAATGCTCCATGTATTTCTCAGAAAGCTTTGGTATTTCTCAAGTGCATGAATAATGTGAAGCTCTTTGTACCAAAGAAGCATTTCATCACTATAAAGCAAAAATTCCAACCATAGTTAGTTAAGGATTGTATTTTTTACTCTTTGCTCAATTATTTCATAAATTCACTCCTACGCATTGTCAAGTACTAGGAAAAAAATTTGCGATCTCTGATTTAATTCTGAAATATCTTAAAAAAAGACGAAGTTGGGTTTTGTTCTTCACCCTGCACTTCACAGCACTTTCTTTTCCCCTGCAGCAATCAAACTTTGAGGAATAGTTGAAAAATCTTACTTCCTCTGAAATTTATTCATATATATGGTAATGTCACTTTTATTTGAGAAATCTTTTTCCCCTCAGTTCACCTCAAGACTTGCTCAGGCCCTGATCAAATCTGGACTCATGCTGTTGCGTACCATGGAGACATGAAAAGGGAACGCATGAAGGAGTTAAAACTTTTCACCGATTCCTTAAGTTTAAGTACACAGAAAGCTTGTCTCGTGTGGTCGTTTTAGTTTCATTAGTCAAATATTGGAACTGGCAGCAATCAAGATACCTTGAGCTGAAATAGCGTATTCCTTGCTGTGCTGGTGAGGCCCATTTCACAAAAGGATTGAGAGCACCCGGCTCTGCTGTGCTCTGGGAAGGCTGCTGGAGCAGCAGGAGGGGGAAATCCCAGAGCAGCCCGCTTAATTATGAAGTGTTTGATTAGATTTGCAAATACAGTGAGATTGTGTCAATTAAACCCAGACGTAAATCTATTTACATCTATATGTATATTTGGTATCTATCTGTATATATATGTATTTGTCAGTACATGAATGCAAGGTAGGAGATGGAGTAAAATTTCATGGTTATTACCGAAGAAGAGGTCTG